ATACCTATTTCTATGCCAAATTTTGCAGGTCGAAATTCAGCCATATATACTTGTATTGCAATCCGGGATGTGTCTAAGCTGGAAGTAACCCAAGTGCCTAAGTAGGATTAGGCTGGTCTCACGAGCTGAATCATAACTTTTTCTTGCTCCGAGGAGCCCCGACCTCTCGAGTTTCAAGTCTAACATGGATAGTCTGGTGAAATCCGACGAGCGGAATCAGAGCTTTTTCTTGCTCCGACGAGCCCCGACCTCTTGTGATAACCCAAGTGCCTAAGCGAGGATTGGAGAAATTCAATTTATAAGAAGAGAAATGAGGGCATATGAAGTTTGGAAGTAAATTTTCAACCCTAAGGCCATTTCCAAATGAGGGCTGGTCAGAGGGCTCGTTTTAGCTATCTGGCTCTCCAAGATCTTCCAAGATATTAATATTTTAATGAACAGTACATGGCCATATTTGCCTCCGTCTCCAACCAAGGGCTAGATGGCCAGATGGCTCGTTTTAGCCATGTCACAAAAAACCGTCTCCAACCGATGTTCAAAGGGCCATAAGGCCAAATATAATTTATTTTTTAAAAACTACAACTTAAATTCAAATCCAACGGCTAAGAATTTAAAATAAAATGAAACAAATTTTGTGAAATAGAAGTTATAGGAAAAAATGGAATTTTAAAAAAATATGAAACAAATTTTGTAAAATAAAAGTTATAGGAAAAAATAGAAGTTAAATGAAAAATTTTGTAAATAAAAATAATAATAAAACTGTAAAAAACAAATCAAATGCAATGGCTAGTCAGCTAGCCGTTGCATTTGAATTTTTTATTAAGAATTGTTGTCGGTTAGGTTGCATTTATATTATTTAGTATAAATGTATTACTGTCGGTTATAACCGACAGTAATACATTTATATTAAGTAATAGAATGTATTCCTATCGGTTTTAATCGACAGGAAATCCGACACATTTAAAAAAATTCTGGCCAGCCCGGGGTTGGCTGGTTGGTTGGAAGTGGCTAGCCCTCTAGGCCTTTGGCCCTTTCGGATTCCGTGGGGCCCTCTCAGATTCCACAGCTCTCTGTCCTAGCCCTAGGTTAGAGACAGTTTTCGGGCTATTTTCGACCCTCTGGACCTTTCAATTGGAGATGGCTTAAGTAGGATAGATGAAACTCCAAATTAGAGGACAAAAGCTATAGACAACCTAATGGATGGGATAGGACGTGTAAGTAAGGTGTCATTTTCTCATATATATTTCAATGTGTAGTCACCATCTAGGTGACAGGAGGCATAGATTTGACAACGAGAACGAAAAAAGAAAGCTTCGAAAAACACATGTTCCAAAGTTGGAGATATGAAATATGTTGAGCCCAAGTAATGACACACCAATATGTATATATGGGTGTGTATAGAGATATATATAAAGGTACGAAAAAGTGTGCAGATATACTCATGTTGGTGAGCAAAGATGTCCACATGTGTGTGTGTGTGTGTAAGTGTCGGTGAGCCTATATGTGCAAACTAGGCGTGCAGATAAAGCACACTATGTGCAGGTGAACACCCAAGCTTTTGAGCCACACGTGTATATATATGTGTGTGTGTGTGTGTGTGTGTGTGTGTGTATAGATGCAGACATGCAGGCTAGGTGTGCAGCTATGTGTGAGGAGGAAACGGCATTATGGATTGTATGTGTGAGTAGGAAACAGTATTATGGATCGTATGTGTGAGAAGGAAACAAACTAGGTGTGCAGACAAGATGGGATAGATATTGTGCAGGTGAACACCCAAGCTTTTGAGCCACACGTGTATATATATGTGTGTGTGTGTGTGTGTGTGTGTGTGTGTGTAGATGCAGACATGCAGGCTAGGTGTGCAGCTATGTGTGAAGAGGAAACGGCATTATGGATTGTATGTGTGAGTAGGAAACAGTATTATGGATCGTATGTGTGAGAAGGAAACAAACTAGGTGTGCAGACAAGATGGGATAGATATTTATACAATAAACATATATACGTATATGTATGTGTATGTGTCAGTCAACTTTCCCACATCCTCATTCGTGAGCCATACGAAAGTATCAGTCCACTTTTGTAAATCCTCGTTCGTAAATCATACGAAGGTGTCAACTTTCAACTTTTGTAGATCGTGTCAGTCCACTTTCGTAAATCCTAGTTTGTAAGTCATACGAAAATGTCAATCCATTTTCTTAAATCATATGTCAGTCCACTTCGTAAATCCTCGTTCGTAAATCATACAAAGGTGTTCAATACACTTTCGTAAAATCTTCATTCGTAAGTCACATGAAAGTGTCAGTCCACTTTCGTAAATCATACGAAGGTGTTCAGTCCACTTTAGTAAATCCTTGTTCGTAAGTCACACGAAAGTGTCAATCCACTTTTGCAAATCCTCATTCGTAAATCATGCGAAAGTGTCAATCCACTTTTGCAAATCCTCATTCGTAAATCATGCGAAAGTGTCAATCCACTTTCGTAAATCCTCGTTCGTAAGTCACACGATAGTGTCAGTCCACTTTCTTAAATAATATATTAGTCCACTTTCACAACAAGGTGTCAACCCTAAATCATATCAGTCCACTTCGTAAACCGTAGTAAGATGTCAGTTGGCGTTCATAAAGCATGTGAAGATGTCTATTGGCCTTAACAAGTTATGCGGCGTCGTAAATTATGGTTTAGGCGTCAGTAAATTTGGCCTTTGGAAAAAATAACTTTCACAAATTTGGCCTTAGCAAGAAGTGATTTTAGTAAAGAATATAGTTTCAAGGCCTCATGATTGAAAAACTCAGTTTTCCCCTATTTTACATACGGAAAAAAGGGGAAAATGGGGCACTGTGGGAGGATAAAATCTGGTTTCGACTCATGAGCCAATACGAATCGTCCAAGGAGAAGGTATTGTGCAAGATAAACTGTGAGGAAAGCCCACATGAAATATACAGACGCAAGGGAAACATGTCCAGATAACTACCCCTACAGACGCAAGGGAAACGTGTCTAGATCACTACCCCCTACAGACGCAAGGGGCACGTGCCTAGATAACTGCCACCACTACGGATGAGAAGTGAGAGAGGAAGACAGGTCGTGGTACTTGTTCCCAAAGCATGCAGTCATATGATGGAGGACCACGAAGGAAGTGGGAAAGGAGGACAGGTCATGGTACTTGATCCTCAATCATGTAATCCTATAAATAAGGAAATGAGCCAAAGAACAAGGTATGTAAGGAGAACCCGAGAGAAACAGAGAATAGAAAATCAATTAACTGACTTAAGTGTCGGAGTATCTCTTGCAGGTACCCCGCCCAGGCAAGCTACGGAGGAAGACTATTCGGGGACACCTCTAACGAAACATTCAGCGAACATGAGAATTGCGGTCAACAAATCTGTGGAGGTATTTCTTCCCGTAGGAAATTTCGCTCCAACAGTAACCTGCTTAGAAATATTTAACCTGCTCAAATGCATGTAGTATTTACAAATTAATTTTCATGTAGTATTTACAAATTAATTTTCGAAGCAAACTAAGTTGTAAATATATGTTCACAATGATACCTACCAACAAACTAGATCACCCGCCCGTACCTAGAGTGATTCTGAAGAATTTAAAAAAAAAACAAAAAATACCATTGGAATGTCGATGAACGATCACTAAACCCTAAAATTATTTTTCGTGTAGTTCAAAAATCACAATAATTTTGATAAAAATAACATACCAACAATCAAATTCACACACTACATACAAATTTTAAGATAAGAAATAGCAAACATACCTCCACAAGAATTTCAGGTGATGGAGATGCAGAGAGATTTGGGGAAGATGGAGAGGAAGAGATGGAGACCAAGATGACTTCTCTAGCCACCAAAATATTATGAAAATAAAAAGACTTCTAGGTTTTTAACGTGCAAACCTAGAAAAAATTAGTGATGGCAATTTTGATGTTTTTTCCAAGTGTAATGACATTTTAGACTTTGCAAATTAAAAAATAGGGATAATTCGGGAATTAAAAAAAATTCATTAAAGGGAGCAAAGTGCTTCCCTTGTTTTCTCTGTGTAGCAATTTTAGGAGGAAGCACCTAGGAGGTGCTTCTTAGAAAATGCTTATTAGTGCTTCTACTTTTAACTAAAAGCACTTTTAAAATATTGCCAAACGACCATTTTTTATAACTAAAGCACTTTTACTCATTAGGAAGCGCTTTTTACTCTTTCAATGTGCTACTCTTCAAAGCACTATTACTCAATAGCGCTTTTTGTTTGTAGCACTTTTCAATAGCGCTTCTATGAGGAAGTAGTTTGTTGTTTGGCATGCAACCAACTAAGCGCTTTTGTATTGGATAGAAGCGTTTTTTATATTAAATAGTGTGTTTGATTGTCAAATGTGTTTGTATCATACTTGACCAATCCCGAAACTACTGAGCACCGGTCAACGTTATACCGTCAAGGACCCATAAGAGTTTCCCTCCAACCAGGAGACCAATCACAGCGCGACACGTGTCGACATCAGAAGCCAATTATAGCGCAACACGTGTTAACATCAGAAGCCAATCACAACACAACACGTGTCAATGTTAGAATGAAACTAGAGGAGAGCTTGAACTTATGTACTTGTGTAAACCCTTCACAATTAATGAGAACTCCTCTACTCCGTGGACGTAGCCAATCTGGGTGAACCACGTACATCTTGTGTTTGCTTCCCTGTCTCTATCCATTTACATACTTATCCACACTAGTGACCGGAGCAATCTAGCGAAGGTCACAAACTTAACACTTTCTGTTATACCAAAGTCCTCACTGATTTTGTGCATCAACAAAATGAAAAGGCGCTTTCATTAATAATTCTCAATAATTTTTGCATAAGTATTTTTTGTATATAATTAGCATACAACTTGATTAAGGGTTGATGAAAATTCAATTACAAAAAACAACGATCACTAACAAAATGATACATACTTATTAAGAATATATGTTTGTTTCTTAAAAACAAAATGACACGTTATAGTTGCATGACAATCAAATGTGAAATAAGCATTAACTAGATATAAGAAGATTAGCAATCCTTTTTTCGTTCAACATCCATCTCTCGCCTATGAGTAAAATTTTTATCAACAATTTCTTCATCTTTATGATCTTCCTCATGTCTAGGCGGAAGTAGCTCATCATCATCATCATAAGGTTGGAACTCTTGATTTGTCATGGAATGCTTCCTAATAAAATTGTGTAAGGTCATTGAAGCAACAACAATTTGTACCTGTTTTTCAAAAGGGAAGTTACGCATGAGACGAATCATTGTCCATCTATTTTTCCAAACACCAAAAGTTCTTTCTATTGTGCATCTTAGGGATGAATGCCTCTGATTAAATATCTCTTTTTTCCCTCTTGGCTGACTCCCACGTCGAAATTCAGGAAGATGATATCGTTCATCGCTATAAGGTCCAATATATCCATTCATATGTGGATATCCAAGATCAACTAAATAATATTTGCCTACACCATAATTGAAAAGAAAAATATAAAGATTTTTGTGTTCATAAGATAATAAATAAATAAACACATTCATATAGGACTAAGGTTGATTACTAACCAGAAGGGAGATAAGGAAATTTCAATTCTGGTCTTCTCAAGGCCTCCATGAATATACGTGAATCATGAGCAACACCCTCCCATCCAACCCAGACAAATGTAAAACACATATTAAAATCACATACAACCATAACATTGAGTTGTATTTCCTTTTCTACCTATTTATGGCACTTGCATTTCTCTAGGCACAACTGGGACATGTGTTCCGTCAATTGCCCCTATGCAACCTTTAAAATATGGCCAATACCGATTGTCATCCTTAATTTTATTTGATACTCTCTTGAATTGCCGATCATGTGGACATATAATATCAGTAGCCATGTGAGAAACAACATCTAATAGTATCCCAAACCACCTAGAAACAGTCTTTCCAGAGCGTTGAAACCTCTCTTGGACCATCCTATTAGTGTGCCCATGAACTAATGTGCTAAGAAACATTGCTAATGCTTCTTCCAGTGTTGTATCTCCAATTCTTTTTAAGCCATAATCACGCTTCAAAGTCTCTAACAAGTCCTTAAAAACATGTTCCATCCTAAATTGTTCATGGCATCTTATAGGATGACCATTTAAAACTTCCATTACCCATCTATATCCCATATACGAAGAAGTCCTACAAGATTCTTTGTCAACTTACTTTAACCATTCAGAGACAGCCGTGACACAGCTTGCAGAAACCAGTTGATAAAATTCATCATCACTTCCATCAGTAGAGTTGTTTGTATTGCTACTGTCATTGCTACTAGAACTCATATTTGTAAACATAAAAGAAAAATTTAATACAAGAGGAATATATAATCATGGCAAAAATAAAGATCACATTCTGAATAAAGTTCTAAAAAATTATATAATTAAAGATATTAAAGGCACATATGTGTAACCAATCCATTACATAATAAAACCAATTCATTACATAATAAATACTTATTCAACCACCAAAAAAAAAATCGAAAAATATAATCCTAAGATAAATGTGACGAATCAAATTTTCTTGCTCTTGAGCCACATGATTTGTCGGTTAGATTGCTTCAATGCAACAAACATCTCTCTATTTTTCTTTCAGTGAAGATATCAGCCGCTTTCATAAAGAGCTCATCATCATTCACAACTTCATGCATTCCTTCCAAAACTTGCATCACTTCCTCAATGCTATAACCAGGCTTATCTGTGCTCTTAGAACAATTGTTTACAACTTCTAAAATACCATCTAATTGTTTTATCATCTTGGCCCCAATTCCAACTCTTTTGGAATCTCTTGTTCTTTTTGCCCCTTCATCGGCTATGTTGTCAAGCCCCTATCTATGTCATTCTCCAAATCATCTTGACCGTCATTTTGTTCGCCTGTTGGAGCTTTCTGGACATTATTACTCATCAACCCTTGTGAGGGTGCCCATGCACCTACACATGTAACAGCTCATTCTTTAAACAAAATGTCTAGTTAGTCAACATTTTTCAGTCCACTATTTCAATATTTCTCAACTTTAGAATTCTCCTGAAATATGACCAACTACAATTAACAAATTATGATAAAAGAACATAAATATGAAGTTAGATTTCCATGGATATGAGATAATAATTTCTCACCTTCACTTTTTTCTCCCACCATTCATCACTTGCAATGATAGTTTGCTTCACAAGATCCCATCCTAAGCCAGTCTCTTTTCCAACTAATGATGCCCACAATTGCCATTCTTTCTTAAGTGCAGTCCATTTGTTCTTGAGTTGTTTATGAACATATGACCTTTGAGTAAGGTCATTAAATTTTTTAATAACATTTTCCCATCCAATTCTATTAAGATGACCACCTATTTGATTTCCGGCTAATGTCTCAGCTACACAAACACTTATAAATATCCCAACACTTGCATCATCCCACATTGCCTTGCTCTTTTTTTCGTTACCTTCTCCATGATCTTGTATATCTTTAGCTATATTATTAGACATATCTATAAAGAGAAGTGGAAAAAAAAAAAACCATAGCACATAATAAGAGCATACACCACTACTTACGTCCTAGCTAACAACACAAAAGTAAATTAAAAGCAATAATGCAAGATTTGTAACTAGTATTTGTTATATATAATAATGCACTACACCGTTGCTTCCAAGACTGCAGTGCGCCACTGCTTACACCATTGCTAACACCACTGAATATGTATCTAGTATTTGTATAGATAATGCATGATATGTAACCATTAACAATAAATTCATAGTGTTGCTTTCTGTTATCATTGGAAGTTAATTTGCTATTAGTAGTATCTACAATCGTTAATGCGGCATCAAATCTCGACAGCAATACAAGCCTTCAAACATGAAGGCCTTTGAGTAACTGTGGGAGGATAAAATCGGGTTTCAACTTATAAGCCAATACCAATCATCCAAGGAGAAGGTGTTGTGCAAGATAAACTATGAGGAAAGCCCACAAGAAATATACAAACACAAGGGAAACGTGTCTAGATAACTACCCCCTACAGAGGCAAGGGGAATGTGCCTAGATAACTACCCCCACTACGGAGGAGAAGTGGGAGAGGAAGACAGGTCATGGTACTTGTTTCCAAAGCATGCAATCATATGACGGAGGACCACAAAAGAAGTGGGAAATGAGGACAGGTCGTGGTACTTGATCCTTAATCATGCAATCCTATCAATTGACTGACTTGAGCGTAGGAGTATCTCTTGCAGGTACCCTGCCTAGGCAAGCTATGGAGGAAGACTATTTAGGGACACCTCTAACGAAGGATTCGACGAATGTAAGGATTGTGGTCAACAAATCTGTGGAGGTATTTTTCTAGTAGGAAATTTCGCTCCAACAGTTGGCGCTGTCTGCAGGAACCGAAACAAAATCAAGCTACAAACATGACTAGATCCACACAAGAAGTTCCAGATGCCTCTAGAGATGCAGGGACTCGATCCGTGCATGCGAGGTCTCAATCCCAAAATAGTGAACCGAGTCTCGCCATGGAACAATTTAGAAAGCTAACAAGGGAATTGCCTAAAATAAAAAAAGACAACAGATGAGGCGTTAAAGAAGGCTAAAGCGAGAAACATAGTGGAAGATGTGATCGGCACCAAGAGATAGTGTGCAGAAGATGAAGATAAGGAGGGTAGCTCTAGTAGCGCGTCATCCAGCAATTGTGATGAAGTGGTGAAAAATCAGGGCGAAGAAGATCATAAGGGAAAAGGATCGAAAAAAGTAAAAGATGTTGATCTATAAGAACAAATTGAGAAGATTGTGAAGGGATACAAACCACAGACCCCAGTGAAACTTGCCTTAGAAACGGCCAGAAAGATCCACAAATCACCGTTCACAAAGGACTTAAAGCAATAATAGGAAACATCGGGGCGGATGAAAGGTTGTTGGATATCAATGTCATACATGGTGGACCTCAACCTCCTAAGGGACACGAAGCACGCTCTCGATCGTAAAGTCGAGAAGCTGAGAAGTCTAGACGCGTGCATAGCATAACATCAACCCCTGAAGCGTCCAAAGCATTAGAGAATTTCGGAGTCATCTCCTTTAGCCAAAAAGACCTCGAAGGAATTTAATTCCCTCACAATGATGCACTGGTCGTGACGTTACGCGTTGCCAATTCAAGAGTGAAAAAGATAATGATTGATGGGGGGAACAGCACATACGTTTTATTTTGGAGCACATTTAGAATGATGGAATTAAACGAGAAAGAGATAAGGCTGAATCCAACTCCCATCTGTGCGTTTGAAGGAACTAAAGCCCAGCCCATTTGAGACGTGACTCTTCCCGTCACTGCAGCAGGTAAGACTATTTTCGTCACTTTTGTCATCATCAACGCACCAAGTACGTATAATGCCATTATGGGAAGGGACTGGATCCATCAAATGGATGGGGAAGCGTCAACCATATGTCAAGTAATGAGGTGTTTGTCGACGGATGGTCAAACAACAATCGACATTAAAGGGGATCAGCTGGAGGCCAGAAAGTGCTACAGCATGGCAACAAACATCAAGATAACCAGGGAAGTACAACAGAGCTTGGACTTTCATGAGAATAAACCATTATAGCAATTAGCGGAGGACCCACCACAACAAGATCAGAAAAGTGACCATCAATGACACACCCCGTCCCGAAGGAGGGCATGCTGGCCGTCACGCGAGAGTGACGTAACCATTTGCACAGTACGGAAGCTTTTAAATACAATTTACAAGTTGATACACCCGAAGGTGAGTCCTAATTTTGTCCAATCTGTCAGAACACCGTCAAATTCCTCGTAGTCACCACACCTTTGTGATTCCTGAACCTGGAGGGGCGCAAAACCAAAATTGAGTGGGTCAGTAAAACAATTCTTTTCCAAATCTAAACATTTCTCAAAACGTTGTAACCCCTCTCCGTAAAACCTGTATACTTTCCCAGAAATATAAAATATAAATATACATATATATATTCTCAATACTTCAATTCATTAACTCAACATTTTCATCATAATTATGCCATGCCACATCATCTCAACATTTCTCATATTAATTATGCCATGCCACATCATCTCAACAGTAATAAGGTATGAATGCATCAACATAAATCATATCAGGTGCAATAAGATAATCAACCGGAGGCCCTCTATTAGCCCGGTTGAACCTAGAGCTCAAAATCTATCACTCTCACACTCTGCCGGAGTCACTCCGCGTGACCTGTACGGCCTTCTGCACACAAGTTACGCTCTAGTGCTTCTCATAAATCATCTGTGCACATAATCTAAGGTCACCCACCAGTCGGAATCTCACTAACACTCTCGCGACTGGCCTGTCGTACCCACTCCGCGTGGACTGTACGACTAGCATCTACTTGGATCCAAGACGAGCGTGCGATGCGGTGAATACTATAAGCACTAAACTATGGTGCAGGATTTGAGCTCAATATACATCAACATCATCATAACAATAATAATACTCACCTGATACTCACCTGTGCGTCCACCGCACCATTTCATATATATGCATCATATCTCAATTCATATCATTTCATATAATTTCATGCATGGCAATTCGATTCACATTTCTATATACTTTTCATATAATTCTGTATACTTTTCGCACACTTCTATGCATGGCATTTCAACTAATATATCTCATATACTTTTATACATTTTCATTTAAAGCATAATTTCATGCATTTTCAATTTCTGGGAAAACGGCAAGTATATATGTATATGGAAAACAAAACTGCCCACTCACAGAATACATCAACGTGTCGAAGGTCCCTGAGCATCCCTTGGCTATGCCTGATGCCCGCATAAGCCTCACCTATACAAAAGTAACCAATTTGGCGTTATTTAACGCCTAACCCAATTCTTAGCTAATAACTCCTCATATATTCCTCAAATTGGGTATATGAATATACCACTGTGACCTACACAACCTCAGGATCATCCCCATATTTTTAAAATAATTTTTGGAGGTTTCACGCGCCCCCACGCGCCTGACGTGGCACGGACCTACGCGCCCCCCACGCGCGGCCACGTGCCATGCACACTGACGGCACAGTAACGGCAGTTAGGGAATATTCCGTTAAATCCTAGCATATTCCGTTAAATAATTAACGGCGTCAGTCACGCCGTTAGCATATTCCGTCAAAACTGACGGAATATTCCCTGTCTTCTCCGACGACTGTTCGCCGGTTTCTGGAAATTTTTCAAACTTGCTATTCTCCTTCGTTTTTCATCCATTTTTCACGTAATTTATACCGATTTGAAGCCCTAATCATAAGCTATCACGATGGACTAATTTTAAGCTTCAAAAACAACGGAATCAAACTTTCCAAAAATATGAAAATTCGGCCTACCTTTGAACTAGGTGATCCCGACGTCCAATTCATGCCAACGAAGCACTCCGAGCTTCCTTGGGACTTCCTTAAGCTCACTGTGAGCTTGGTTTGGCCTAAAACACAACCAATTCAAAGCTCATGAACAGTACACATTCACGGCAACTTTAGAAACTAGGGTTTTCGAAGTGAAACTTACCTTAAACTGGTACCTACGTGATCGTGGAGTCCTCAGGAATGCAATGGTGGTTTTAGATCCGACTTTGGTAGAAGTTTTAGGGTGTTTTTGAAGTTGGTCCGTGAGTTCGAAGGAGAGAGAGACAGAGAGAGTGAGAAATCGTGAAGGAGGAGAGAGAGAGAATGACAAGGTACGGGAATTGGGGAAGGTTTTGAGGGATGTGGGGGTCCCCGTGTCCAACTCAATCTCAATTTCAAACTTTTAACATAGAAACCTAAGTAAAAGTCTTGGCTTAGGTTTCTAAAACCAATTAATATTCTAATTCACCAAAGTTTAAGAACCTTAAGTAAAAACAAGTGTCCAAATTACGCACTTTAGTCCCGTTTAGGGACATTTTCGTAACTTCACGTCCTCGGAATTAAAATTCCGGGACGGACTGTGACAATCAAGAACCCCCGACTATAAAACCACTGAGGGAATAGGTTTTAGATTCAACCGATCCTGATAAACAAAAATGGGTGGGCTTCCTTCTATCTGATACGGAAGTCGAAGAGTTGTTGAAATTTCTTAGGAGCAACACTAATGTTTTTGCATGGTTCCATAGGGACATGACAGGAATTGACCCGGAAGTGGCATGTCACCAGCTGAATGTGGATCCGAGTTGTCCTCCACACCGACAAAAACAGAGGAGATTTACGCTAGAGCGAAATCAGATTATCAGTGTAGAAGTCGATAGACCCCTCAAAGTTGGATTCATTCGTGATGTCTGGTGCCCAACTTGGGTTTCAAATGTCGTGGTGGTAGGCAAGAAAGAAAAAGGAAAATGGCGTGTATATGTGGATTACACCAACCTGAACATGGTATGCCAGAAAGACTGTTTTCCAATTCCAAAAATTGACCAGACGGTGGATGCTACTGCCGGGTATGCATTGTTGTCTTTCTTAAACGCTTATTCCAGTTCTAACCAAATTCATA